CACCGGTGGTCCCCATGGCGTCACCGCCAAGTTAAGTGCCGGTCACCAATGACCCCCGTGGCATTCAACGTGTTAAGATCGCGATCAGGTATCGGCAAAGGCGAATTCGTCGCTAGCATAGTCGCGGCACTTACCAGCAGCCATCATCGAAGGGTAGCCAGACATTCCCGACTGATCGCAAGCTGGCGGCAGCCTGTATCCGCTCGACAGTTTCTGTTCCATAGGGCCCGCAGGGTCCAGAAGAGGTTCCGGAGGCATGCAGCATCGAACCCCGGCGCAACAACCACCGCCGCAACAGTCCCGCGTCCAACTGCAGCAACCGCCGTCAACGACGGAGACGGCTCTGCCGTAAATAGAGGATTTCGTTATCCGTACGGTTCAGTCCGGGTCCGGGGACGGTTTAGTCTCGATCCCGGGGCAATTTAGTCTGCCGTGTTACGGAATTTCTCCGGCGGTACTGTTAAACGCGGCCGCGGTAATGTCGGGGCCGGGCGATAAAGAAAGACTCACGCCGTGGCAGGTGTATAAGAGGGTGGCCCTACGTATAAGCTCGGGCTCGGGCCGGCGCTCGGGCTCGGGTAGAACGATGCTGTCGGCGGTTTCTCCAACAGGGGTTTGTAAGCGCTGAAAGGAAGTTGTTTTGCATTTCACTCGTTCGAGCTTTCTGGCGGAGCTTGTATTTCAACGGAAATTCTCGGCCGTATGATAGGATGTAGAAACTTCTCTTGGGCTAGGTGCTATTTTATGGTTTTAAATAAATCGCGGGAAATTGAGCAGTCGAGATGCTGCTGTGTGACTTAACGGCGAACGGTTCGAAACGTTTATGATATCGGCTTCCGGTTGTCGAAACAGGTACGAAGAGCCAACAAAGTTATAGGGTATATCGGTTCCGTCGTATATCGGCTTCGGTTCCTCGGTGCCGAGATCGCTATATCGGTACATCGCGAAAATGCGATCACGTCGCACGCATTTTCGATTTGAATATAGACTCCGTACTTTGGATACCTGAAGGAAATGCAACGTGCTTGTTACGTGAAATATTTAGAACGGTGACGCTGAAATACACAGCCGACGTTCAAAACCCGAAGAATAACAGTCGTAGAACCGATATATGTATAACTGTTCGAGACGGTTGTTTTTGGAAGCTTTTCGAATCGCTGCTTAATTGTTAGGTGAATCTAATTGTCAAGGTGAATCTAAGCTTTTGAAACGATTACCTGCAGTGGTCGCACATCGTACTCGGTAATTTTGATGCTGTCCAAAAGGTTTGCGATGCTTGATGGTTTATGTCGATGGTGTGCTGTCGTTGACGTTGGCAACGAGTACTTCATGTCTTTGACTTCGTTGTGTATAATAATCATTGTGTATAGTAGCTGCAGATTTTGTAACATTTCTAGAGTAGATGGGCAGATGAAAATAATATTATATTATTGTGAATAATATTATAGTAGCTGCAGATTTTATAACATATATGGAGTAAATGGGCAGATGAAAATAATAATATAACATTATTATTATATATAATAATATGATATTATATTATGTATAATAATAATGTTATTATTATATTAATAATTAATAGAATAATTATTATTATTATATAATATCCTAATATTATATATATATATATATCTTTATTATTATTATATATCTTTTATATATATATATATATATCTTTTTTTTCAATGTACTGAAGCTGATGGGAAGAAATGAATTTTTACTTCACCCTAGTTTTTTTCATTCTATTATGTATTCTATATATATTATTATACCAATATTCTATATTCTATTATAAAATATATAAACTCCATTTATGCCATGAGTGAGAAAATAAGATCTAAAACGAGAGCGAAGAATATCCAGAAAAAAATCAATGTGAACCCTTGCCACTATAATTTGCGGCCAATAAAATGCACCAAAAAGTACAAGATTCATATATTTCGAGTTCAGTCAAATTTTCATCATAGTCACCGACGTTTTCATCATACGAAATTCGCATCGCTGGTCTCGTTTCAGGGATGCAGGATGGTAGAGCATAAATGCTTTACAAAACACACAGTTCTCGCCGGAAGGAAGGCGAGGAGCAGAGATTTGCGTGGCTCGTGAGGGTTGGTGGGGAATGCCTTTTTATTGAAGCATGGGGATTACATCGATCGGACAAAGATATTGAATTTTTATCGTGAGAGAGCGGTTCTTCGGACGGTTCTCGTAGTCGTTTTATTTTCTATCGGCGCAGCATTTCGACGGGGCTTGTTCCTCTTCCTTCGGCTTCGGTTTATTATCCTTGCAGCAGCCGGACATGCAGCAGCCTCCTGCCGCCTCCCTGGCCCTGCAAGACGAAGGAAGATCGATCCCCGTGCTGAAACGTCTCGTCGGGCATCGCGGAATCTCGCTTCCGTCCGACCAACGACGTCCTGTCTCCGAGACAGACGGAGCTAACGTTCCGGGAACGTTCGCGGGAGGGGGTCGAGACTTTTGAATTCGAGAAGGGACAGGTCTCTTCCGGGAGAAATCTTTGTCCCAAAGACGATTCGTGGGGTCGCGGCGTCCTTTTGTGGCCCTCCTCGCGTTCCGTTGTCGGAAATATTTATGGAACTTTTATTCGGAATTTTTCTACTCGGACGTCGCGGGTCGCCGGGTTTTTATTGTCTGCGGTGTTCGTTTTCGCAATCGTCCGTCCCCCCCGTATGGCCACCGTGGCTTGTCCTGTGATCGTTTACCCTTTCAAGGCTGCCGTCAGGATGTTTCGGGGATGCTACTTCCCCTGCGAGCAACAATATTTCGCTTCCTTCTGTACAGCGCCGCCCGAGCAACAACCGCCCTCGTCCTGTGTCCCGGAACAGCAGCTCGAGCCGCAACATCCGCCCACTGTCTTTCTCTCTCTGCACAGTCAGTCGAGTTACTCGATTAACCCCCGGCACCACCGAGCCACGCCGCGTTTCAGTGTCGCCGGGTTAATTGCACGCGTTAAGGGAGGAAACGAGCCGCCCCCGCGTGTCAATGCTCGATCGACGAACATACTCGTTTACGGTTAGTCTTCGGAGACTCTCGGGGATAGGGATCCTTTCTCCTGGCTGTCTAGATATCGCGTTAACCCCTTCAGGATCGGAATCGTTTCTGGCCGTTACGGCGGATCAAATGTGGCAAGGTTACAATGCTGAGAAAACTATGCGTCTTGTTCACGAGATTCTGACGTATTCATCTGCATAGTACGATAATTTCTCCCGGAAATGCCAAATTTCGGGTTGCTGAGAATCGATGCTAAGGGTCGTCAAGCGTGGGGTGCGGCACGCGACGGGAATTTCAGGAAAACGATACAAAATGGTTTGTTTAGGCATGAGTCGGGTAAGAAAAACCGCGGAGCTACAAGATACGTGACCAATC